TTCGGTGCTCGGTAAAAATGGCAGCGGTAAAAATGGCAACGGAAAAAATGGCAGGATAAAAATGGCAACGGTAAAAATGGCAAAAGTGGATAAATAGGTAAAAATGGCAAAAGTGGATAAATAGAAAAAAAAATGGCAATTCGACAACAGAAAATTATGACCGTTCGAGGAGGATGGGAATCCCTCTAGTTTAAAATAGGGCTAAGTCCCCCCCACCTCAATATTTTAAAATAAATATTTTTAAATAGATATTTACTCTGGGGGGGGGTAGCTAGGCTCCTTCTCCTCTTGTTTTAAATAGGGGCTAAGTTCCCGCTCTTAGTATTAAAAACATTTTTTTTTAAATTTTCGATGTCGATTTTTAGAAGTTTTATTGGGGGGGGTGCTAGGTTCCTCCTCCTAATTGCAGTAAAAGCACAAATCGTAGCATGTTTAAGTGAATTTGATGACTATAATTAATTTTATAGTTGATAGCTGACATTAGGATTAGATGTGTGTATATATATATATATATATATATATATATATATGAATATATATATAAAATAAGTGTATTAGTATATATATATATATATATATATATATATTAGTGTTGGGACGATTAATCGGAATCATATATATATATATATATATAAGTGTATTAGTGTTGGGACGATTAATCGGGGAATCGGAAAAATCCCAAAGGCGAATGTTAGGTATCCCATTTACAGATTTCGTATTGACTCTCAGAGTCTAATTTAATTATTTTATTGTTAAATTATGGTAAACGAAGTAAATATTCTAGAGTTCACTTAGCCTATTCCCTCAGCAAACCTTTTGAATTTCTGTTCACACATATTTGTTAAATGTCTATATGACGCCTCTCAGAGACTTCACACTTGAGTATTAAAAGAGTGAAAACCCATCAGACAAGATTTTAAATTTTACTGCCACCAGTCTGACCCTATCGTTGTCTGATAACCTCTGAAATAATTAATGTTTTATTGTTTTGTTTTTTTCGGTCTCAAAAGTGGATCTATAATTGTTTTTTCCCAAAGTTTTTCAGTGTGTTCAGACATAATCGCCTAAAAAGTAAAATCTCATGGGAGGGGGGAGCTTTAGCTGAACATTCTTTTTAATTTGACAAACTTCTCATTTTTTTCCATTATGTATTGTATCCAAGACTTTAATAAACTCATTGTGAGATATTCATCTATATTTTTTTTTCCTTTTGCCATTTTTTTTATTTATCCACTTTTGCCATTTTTACCGTTGCCATTTTTACCCATTTATCCACTTTTGCCATTTTTACCGCTGCCATTTTTTCCGTTGCCATTTTTACCGCTGCCATTTTTACCTAAATTCGTTCTTTTCACAATATCTAGTTTATACCTGTCCCTACTCTGCCGCATTTGCTTTTGTATTTATTTTGGTTCAACTTTTACATTTGTATGATGTGATTTACCTCCACACCTTTTATTTTCTGTTTATCTTAGATTTGTCTATTTTTCACTTTGATATATTGGTCCTAGGCTGCAATAAGAGATTCCCTTTCGTATTTCAACTGTCCGTTGTGTTACCATGTTTCTCCGTTTGCAGTACAAACATTTAAATAATTCATGGAGAGTTTTACTTCATTTTATTTCATATTATTTAAGTTTAGTTTGGTTTGGTACAAGGTCACGCGTATGGAGAACCCAGTGAGAATCGAACACATTATAATCAGGCTAGTTCACTATTACCACACACCAACGTGCTCATTTTTTTACTGCAATGTTGTGCCTATTTAATAAATCCGCGATAATTAACAGTCCTTTTTTGTTCGTTTTTTTTTTTTTTTTTTTTAACGTAAAGTTTGTCAGGGTCATATTTGGGGTGGCTCAGTGGCTCGGTCTGAGTTCAGTCTGAAGTATGACGACCGGCTGATCGGTTGAACTCTCTTCCTTCGGGCGGGGAGGAACCCGAACGAGGCTACGCCGAAGGGAGGAACCCGAATGAAGCTACGCGGATTCTCTTTCGGGGAGGTAAACCGACCCTGAACCCGTTTATACAGCTTCAATGGGCATATTTTTGGCCGAGACCACGGGCTCGGAGATCCCACGTTAAACCGGCCTTGTGCCACATGATGCCCACGTTGTGGGGGGGGGGAGTGATTAAATACCATCATATTTGGGGTTTGTTTTTAATGGAGTCCACCCAAAGCAGGGCAGTAAAGTCACTTATACACAAATGGTTATTGGTTGTGAAAGAATTAGAAAACAGAAACATTACTAAGGAGGGGGGAACAAAAGAAGAGTAATCAGGAGGACAGTAGATAGCGATTGACATTGTATTTAAATCTTTGAATATTAAAATTGACTGAAAAGCAAGGAGCCGGCAGAGAGTTCAACAAGTGCAGGACAAAAGAAAGTGTTAACATAGAATTTCCGGTTAGTCCTCCTTGCCAGTTTCGTACTGGGGATAAATTCATAAAGTCTATGTGCCATAACAAAGAGCTATATTTATTTGTAATATTTACAAA